AACAGAGTTCGTAACATGTTGTGTATGTAGTATTTATGTATGTAAGTATGTATGTGCGTAAATACATAAACTTGCTGTTAACATTACATACATAGTTTCTGTAGCAAGCGTGTTTAACCGCTGTTAATTTGCAGTGGGTAAACACGAAAACGCTTTCAATTGAATACCAATGCGGTATTTATTTTGTTGTTGTTTAAATAGATTCCGGGTATTGAAATTCATGACTGCAAGCATTCAAAAACAATATTTGAACGACAAACAAAAAAAACAAAAACCAATTGCATCCATTTCGACACTTGAAAGCACACTAATGTCTGTATTTTAAATAAACAAAGCTATGAAACAATAATTTTATTAAGTGAATTCCAGCAGAGTTGCGAATTAATTACGCCGCCATAGTTTTCCTGTAAATAGCAGCTGAGACTAAATGTTTTGTTGAAAGTAAAAGTAGGAAAAGCGATACGATCGCAAATGCTTGCGACATAAAGGTTTGAGAATTGAATTCGGTTTTGTTTTTTTTTTTCTTATAAATTACTTGTTCATATTTCACATACACTGAGCCAAAGGAACAATGGGTTTTTCAACCAAGTTATGGTTTGATTTTTTCATGGTTAATAAGCCGATTTTAAGAAGTGTGATTCAAGTTGAACATTTGACAACAAATTCGTATGTGTGGCAGTGGCTGAACGTGCAGAGGCGCTTGCTGTTATTTGTTGGCAGAACGAATGCCGTCAGCGCGATACATAATTTTTTTTTTCTGTTTTCTGTTTTTAGTTTTTATTAATTACGAAAAAGCCTCTGTGAAGTGCAGAAACAAATCAAACGACAAAGAAAATCGATGCAAGTTGAGCATTTGCAGAGCCATTTATAAAGCGGCTGTAACTTAGTGTGCAGTAGGGATGCCAAAATATCTGGAAAATTGGGATCCCGGGATTTCGGGATATTTTTTTAGGTAATCCCGAGATCCCGGGATTTATCCCGGTATACAAATTGAGTCATAAATTTTATGAATATGAGTAAAAATTCAATGTCTGAAAGCATTTAAACATACCATTAAATAAAACTATTTAAAATTTACGATAAACTGATTGTAAAACTCATATATCGCTAGCTTAGAGCGAAAAGTTGCTAACTTCACTTTTTTAATGAAAAATCATATTTTGATATAGGAGGCCAAATAAATTAAAATTGCATCGTTTCGACAAGGGTAAAGGTCCTTGTTGTATGTTTTCTCGTTTATATTCAATGAAAGGAAAATTTGCTAAGGCCAAAAAAAGCTCCGAAAATTCGATAAGGCCAAAAAAGTTCGAAATCTTTTAATAAATATCGACTCCCACCGATTCGTATGGAGTTTTGCTTTGCTGTAAACAGGCAAAATGTTGTATTCAAAGTTTTGCGAAATACTTGAAGACAATGGCAGCCCTAGTGTGCAGAGATGCTTGATGTTATTTGCTAACATTCAGAAGCTGCCGTTTCAAATATCGTCAGACTCGACTTGTTAAAATGATAATAAAGTTGTTTATACCGCCAAATTAAGAAAAAGCATCCGTGAAGTGCAGAACATAAGCGTATTCAAACGAAAAAATCGACAACCAAAACTTTGGTTAACGTAAACAAAAGTGTGATTAATATTTGAAAACATCAACCAAGGCATTGATAATATTAACAAAAATCACATTGCTACCTTTTCAAGTTTGAATTTGGTAACATTAAATAATTTTTGGTTGATTTTTTTCTCAGTGTAGTAATTGATAGCACTACTGGAGAAGCAGTTTAATCAACTAGTTTCCAATAACTGAAAATCAAACTTAAAAGCTTGGCTGGAGAAATGCAACATACATACATATGTTGGTCTTAAATTTATAAGCAGACGCAAGCGCGGTGCAACTGTAATGAAGCGTGTGCGCATGCGTTTAGCAACTCACGGACATAAATAAAAATCACATATGTATGTACATAAGTTTGTACATGTCCTTGGGCACGAACACACACCGACATGTTTTGTATTCATTTAGTATATTTGAACGGTCGACTATAAAAATTTTAAGCTTTTTCACTTTCGAATTATTAAATTCATATTCACTTGCTCTTAACAGTTAATGGTCGGAGATTTTTATTTCGTTTGTCTAGCTGTAAAAATAGCAGGCAGCTGTCATACTATTTTTACGTACGCAATCCTGCTCACCTCTGGCGAAGGTCGTTGCTTGTAAGATCATAGCTGGTAATGGAATTTTCATGGAATTTGGTATGCGTCATATTATTTTTGTACATATTGGGGTGTTAACATTTATTTTTAGACATTTTAAGGAAAAGTGTGCTTTATTAATTCATTTTTTTATTTGAAAACCAAAACCATTTATAGATTTTTACGTTTTCGTCGAAAGCGCTGTAATAAACCACTGCCCTCGACTTAAGAGCGCAATTTACTTTTATAGTTGAAAACATTTGCACAAAACAATTAAACTGAGTTTAAATAGTTTTCCCACTTGTTTACTTTAATTTCGATCTGCAGTGTAACTTCTGTCCCTAAATTGGCTCTAAAATTTAATGTACTCAAAGCAAAATGTAACTTATTTGGATTGAAATAGCTTCTCGATGTCGCTGGGATTAAGATTTTTCAACAAAATTTTTTATGTAGGCTTAATATTTGATTTGAAAAGATTTAGGCTTGAGAATGGCTTGAGCTCCAGTTGTTAACTTATTAGTCATTCCTCAACTTAACCTTCACCTGAAATACTACAACAAACAAAAATGAAGTATTTACGTATAGAAAGCTTTATTTCTGAAACTGGCATAAGTCATTTCATGCCGATTTCCTTTTATCTGAACGCTTCTGTTCATGGTTCAAATTTATCAGAGCTTTGTCATTAGCTTTCCGTTAGAAGTCACCAGCCATTTAAGCCAGGAGGTGGGAGAGGTTTTGTGCCACTTTAAAAATAAAATAAAAATAGGAAGCTTTTTCAGAAGCGCTTCTGAGGTGAAAGCAAAGCTGTTTTTGATTTTGAATTATGGTTTTGCATTTTAAATTTTGGTTTTGTATTTTGAATTTTGGTTTTGTATTTTGAATTTTCGTTTTGTGTACTTTGAATTTTAATTTTGTATTTTGAATTTTGGTTTTGCATTTTAAATTTTGGTTTTGTATTTTGAATTTTGGTTTTGTATTTTGAATTTTGGTTTTGTATTTTGAATTTTGGTTTTGTATTTTGAATTTTGGTTTTAAATTTTGAATTTTTGTTTTGTATTTTGAATTTTTGGTTTGTATTTTGAATTTCGGTTTTGTATTTTGAATTTTCGTTTTGTCTACTTTGAATTTTAATTTTGCATTTTGAATTTTGGTTATGCATTTTGAATTTTGGTTTTGCATTTTGAATTTTGGTTTTGTATTTTGAATTTTGGATGACTATTTTCATAAAAGCAATTTCGTCATTAAAATTTGTGTAATTTAATGTACAGAGGAAATCAGCTAGGAAAATTTTCGCGTGGTGTTTATTAGTTTATAACGAAAGCTACGAACCATACAATAATTGTCGCTACATTCTGAGTTCTCAGGACACTAGTCCGTAAGTGGAATCAAATGGAGATTGGATATTATTTAGAATAGCAAAAATCGAATATCCAATGATGCGGGAAAGGGGCTTGGGACCACTAATTTAATTATTTGATATAATCGTTGGGGCGGCAATTATAAGTTCACCCCCCATTGGATCATTACTTCAGAGGTTAGATAATTAGAATAGTTTTTTTTTGTTAAGTTTTAGTTGTTATGAGCGCCAAATAAACACGTACTTACAGGCTTATTTCTGCCTGTAATATAATAAACACATACATACATACATACAGTCGATGTAGGCATATATGCATTTATACATATATCTACATATACATATGCACATACATTCCGCATGCACGCGACTCTACTATAATACGTAACTGTCGATGCTAATGTCGCGGAACCTGTCTACCCGGTTCAAGCGCCGTATCACACAACATTCGTGCAACGCCTTTTGCTGCATTTCCAGCATTTCTTACAATTCATTTTTACTTCCAGTTTTGTTTTTTTTTCCGTTTCAACATGACTACATATTTTCATTTTTGGGAAAAACCACATATACGAAGCTACCAACTGCTGGTACATTCTTCAGTTACAGCAAAACTGCGATTGACACATACAAAAAAAAACAAAAGAGAGAGAAAAATGGCAGCAGAACCGGTTAAATTATATGGCACCTGTCACCTGCCGCCAAAACCGTTGCGCAGACGCAAGTGAGCGGCGCTGAGCTTTTCTTTTATTGTTTAAGGCTATTTATTTATTTATTTTTTATTTAGATATTTATTGCTATGTAAAAGTCAAACGCAATGATGCATTTGCTTGCAGCTTCCTGCGCCCACCAGTAAAGCTCATATCGATTTTCCTTTAGGGTCTATTACTCTATGACAAAATAAAATAATAATATATATATTTATGTATAAACGATTTAATTGTAATTGGTACACTCAAAATTATGTCGCCAGCCAGTTGGCTTAGTGTGCAACATGTTGCTACAACTTTGTTTTTTCATTGCCTGTCAATCAGACACTTACTATTTTGAGGTCGCGCGTCTACAAAACACAACTGGGCTGGGAAGTAGTGAATGTGTCCGTGTTCGCTTTGTGATCGTCTCAAAGGCCATTGTCGAGTGAAATGTGCGGGGGGCAACAGTTGCTCTGGTGCTGTGCAACTTGAACTCGAATTGTGGTTTCCTCTAGCTGGTTAGACAGCTGTTGCGCGAGGAGTACTGGAAATGTGGCAAAATTGCGGCATCAAAATTAACCCAATTCTGTTTTGATAATTCGCTTCAACATATACAACTGACGAATGTATGTATATATACATATATATATTTTTGTACATAAGTAAATTCATAAGTAGTGTAACTAATTATTCAGTAAGTTATATTGGCTATGAATGTAGTATGGAAATTTTCTTAGCTAATGCATTTGTTTTGCTCTTCTTCTTTTAGGTCACTCATCGTACAACTGGCGAGGTTATGGTGCTGAAGATGAATCAGTTACGTGCAAATCGACCAAATATGCTCAGGGAGGTACAACTACTTAACAAATTATCCCACCCGAATATATTAAGGTAAGTGCCATTGAATGCAGTTAGGCTAAGTTAGTTTTTGGAAATAATTTGTTTTTACGAAATTAAATTTAAGGGGGGAAATAATAGAATTATGTTCCCCATATCTACTAGACATGCATTATTTTTTTCCAATTCGCACTCAGTTTAGCGCTTGAAAGAAATTTAAAGTACCTATGGTGTGTACTTTTCGGCGAAGTATAACATAGTACAACTAAAATTAATTAACTAAATTTGATATAACCATGAATAAAATTACATCCTTAACATTCTACCGGACCCGCAATCAAATATGCATAGGGATGTTACATAGGAAACCGAAACCTAGAAGCTTTTAGTGATTTTGATAAACTTCGGTATATCTTATTGAGACGATCGGCTGCACTTTACAGAATTCTGCAGAAATGGTTGACCAAGTGATTTCAAGTGGGTCTTATATCCGCCTAATTAGTAATTGCAATAATACTGCTTTTGATTTCCAGACTACCAAGTCCGTTGTTAATTTTTGATCCGTCTGCACAATGGGCATGCCCTTCGAGCACTTTTGATTTTATTCTGAACCTTTTAAATTGAGTTTTTTCTTTATTTTATTAACCAACTTCATAAAAGTGGGAGGTTATCAATTCGTCGGAATATTTTGTTATATATGTTACCGCAAAACTCTGGATCATGTGAATCGATTTCTATAATTCTTTTTTTAAAGGAAAAGTGGTACCAATTTGGTTTTATATTCGATCATTGAATCATGAAGAAATTAACGATACTCTTAAATTTTCATATGAGAAATGAAGTCGGGTTTTGTTTTTTGCATAAAAAGTACTTGTGCATATTAATTTTTATTTTTTTGAAGGTTATTTTTGACTTAAATTTTTTAAATTTTATTTTGTACATATTAACTTTTATTTTTTATATTTCTTATTTTTTAATTTTTTGTCTTAATTTCTTGTAATTTCTTAATTTGTTGTAATTTCTTAATTTATTGTAAAATCTTAATTTTTTTGTAATTTCTCAATTTTGTGTAATTTCTTAGTTTTTTGTAATTTCAAATTTTTTTGTAATTTGCGAATTTTTTGTAATTTCTTAATTTTTTGTAATTTCTTAATTTTTTGTAATTTCTTAATTTTTTTGTAATTTCCTAATTTTTTGTAATTTCTTATTTTTTTGTAATTTCTTAATTTTTTGTAATTTCTTAATTTTTTGTAATTCCTTAATTTTTTGTAATCTTATTTTTTTTTGCAAACTCTTAATTGTTTGTTATTTCTTAGCTATTTGTAATTTCTTAATTTTTTGTAATTTTTGTAATTAATTTTTTGTAATTTCGTATTTTTTGTAATTTCTTAATATTTTTCTATTGTTATTATTTATTCATTGTTCTATAATATTTTTAGAATTCTTTAATCAACTACTTATTTATTTTTAATTACTGAATGTTAAAATTTTATATTTTTCTTTATTTATTTTATTTTTTATTATTTTTCTTAAATTACACTAATTTTTTTTAAATTACATACTTAAATATTTTAAATTAATTTTTTATTTACTTTTTTATTTTTTTTAATTGATTGTTAGTTTCTTATATTCTTTTTTAATTTTTATAAATTGCTTTTTAGTTTTTTAAATATTTTTTTTATTTTTTTATATCTTTGCTTAGATTTTTATTTAAATTTTAATAACTTTTTTGGATATATTCTTTTCGTTTATTTTTATTTATGTTTAAAATTTTTTTAATTACTATCTAATATCTTTCAATTTTCTAACATTTAATTTAATTTATTTATATTTTAATATTTTTAAATTAATTTTTAATTTTCTAAAATTTCTTTCTTATTTTTATAAATTGTTTTTTCGTTTATAATCAAGATAATTTTTATTTTCTATATATTTTGCTGAAGTTTTTATTTACATTTTATTGAGTTTTTTGTTTATATATTTTATTTTTCTATTTCTATATTTTACCTTTTTAATTATTTCATTGTGTTATCTATTTACTTATACGTTATCTTCAACCCATCTTTGGTTAAACAAACGTCTAACTGGCATACCTAAATCAACTAAATTGTCGCTGAAATAATTTAGCTTTGCCTGTTATAAAAATTGTGGTATGACTGGCTCCTCAACTTGACTTTTTATTGTTATTATAAATATACTTAGCAGAAAAAATTCTCAACATTAATAAGCGCGTAGTCTCGTAACCTAAAAAAGAATAAAGAACCAAACCAGCCAGCTGGCAAGTTAACAATAAAAAAGGAGCCAACTCATTAATTACTGTTTACATGCAATAACAGGCAAAGCAAAGAAACCCCACTAGCACACAGAATAAAAGCCGGTAAAAAAAAAGTCGACAGCAAACTGCTACTGCTATCGCTGGCAACTAGCAACAGCGCGCCACCGCCAAGTATTGGCAATGCGACCGGTTCTTATGCCGGTGCATTAAGAGGGGGAAAATATTGCGAATTGAAAGCAGAACAATTTCTCGGTGGCTTGTTCTTCGTCGTCGGGTGGTAGTGCTTATACATAAACATACATATCTGTACATAGCTATATTCATTTTATACGTATGTTTAGAATTGTATATATGTACATTAGGGTGCATCACAAAAAAAAAAAAACCTTGCGGATTTTCCACCGGACTTATTTAGTTTATTATTTTTTAAGACTCCTCAAAAATATTGAGATTTACGTAATCTGTATCTATCAAGCAGGGATCACACGATTTGTACATTTCCACAATTGGCAGCCACAGAGTGGTGTTGTCCAGAAATTTTTGTCGAGAATGAGTTCAGATCAATAACAACGTCCAAACAAAACCTCTGTACCTGTGGAAATTTACAAATCTGTGCAAATAAACAAAGCGTGTGGTGCGTGCTTTAGATCTATATATTTTTTTTGATTCCGTTGATAAAATTTTTAAACATTTTTATGCAGACCTTTTAAGCTTAAAATTTCAATTTTCTGAGTTGTTTTTTTAGAAAACATATATCTAAAAACTATTTCTATTAAAAAATATAAAAATTTTTTTTTTGAGGTATTTTCAAATAAGTCCAACTCACGTAAATTCTAATGTTTTTCCGAAATATTTTGGCGGGTCTTGAAATATAATAAATGCTATATTATCGATAGGAAAAGGGTATCTACATTTTTTTTTGGTTAGAGTGATGCACCCTAATGTAGATATGTACATAAATATTTACGATGCACGTGTATGTATGCATACTTTTTTGTACTTGTTAGTCGACGGTTAAATCTCAGCACTCGCTTTGCCACTTCTGCATGAACAGTTAGAACTCATATTGTTGTTGTAAAAAAGACGCATTCTTGACTGGCAGATGAGGTGTCACCACTGCATTCCATTCTACCTAATTGCCACAAGTCTCCGTTGACAACTATTTCCTAATAGCTAGAGTTTATGAGCTACGAAGGTATTTGCATTTGAGTTAAAGAAAAAGCTAAGATACATGTAATCGTGGGAGACAAAATTTGTACATGCTGATTTTTGTTAAATATTTGCAAGGTTTTTAACGGATTTATTTGTTTTTATTACTTTTTATAAAAAATAGGTATGGTTCATGCTTTAATAAAACTATATGAAAAAAGCCGTAAAAAAAAAAAAAAAACAAAAGAAATATTAAAAATTAACGTTTTTTTTTAAGCCGCTTAAACTTGCTTTTCATTATTTAAAATTTAACAGGCTATACAACTACATACCTAAGTATTTTCTAAAAATTCAAATTAAAAGGTTCAAAATGTTAATGCAAATGTGCTGAATTTTTCTAAGCTTCGTATAAAGTTTGAAAGTTTGATTTATATGGTTTTGGTAAGAGCATAAACCATATTCTTATAAAAGAAAAAAAAAATTTTACTTTAAAAACCTTGCATATATTTAACAAAAATAACCATGCACATACTCATTTTTGCTCCCCACTGTATGTACATACATAAAATAATGGATAAAACATTCTTTCTTTGTTTTATTTAGTGTTTTATGATTTTTAATTTGCTTCTTTTAATTTTGCTTTTTTCTTTATAAATCTTGTTATTTTTAATATATTATTTATTTGTTTTTATTTTCGATTTATTTATTTTTTTTTATTTATTTATTTTTTATATTTTTTTTATTTATTTTTTTTGTTTTTTGTTTTATTTTTTATTTGGTTATTATTTTTTTATATTTGGTTATTATTTTTTTATATTTATTTTTTATTTTCTTGTTATTTTATTTATTTTTTATTTTCTTGTTATTTTTTTTTTATTTATTTTTTTTTTGTTTTTAATTTTCATTTATTTATTTTTTTACTTTTGATTTATTCTATTTTTTACTTTTGATTTATTCTATTTTTTACTTTTGATTTATTTTTTTCATTCTTTGATGGTTTTTTTTTGTTTTATTTTTTTATTTGTTTATTATGTTTTAATATTTATTTTTTATTTTTATTGTTTACTTTTTTAAATTTTTTGTTAATATTTCGGTCAATTGGGGTATTCATCTAAACGCGTAAATGCCTCGTAGTCACTTAAGCCTCGTAAAATTACTAAACATTATTTTATTTTTAGTTTAATATTTATTTTCTTATTTTTTTTTTAATTTGCGTTCTTTTTCTCTTTCATACTTATACGTATAAGTACTTATATGTATGTATACATTGTTCCCCTCTTTTGCAAATTAGTTTTTTTCTAATCCTTTTAAATTTTTTTTTATTTTTTCTGCAAAGAAGTTCGTGCTGTCATTCAGTGCACTCGCAGCGAAAATATTTTCTGTAAAAAGGATATTAAAGAAATAATAGAAATTCTTTCCTACTTGAAAGGAAAAAAGTCGCATTACACGCCACGCACTCGCAGCGCCGTTTAACTGCGCGAAACACAAAGGTGCATAGCCGCTCGAGAGGTGTTTCGCTTTGTGTGACGCCTCCAGTGCCTGAAAGCTTTTTTTCGCTGAAGAGACTTCCGTGAGGTGTGCGATTTGCGTTGCCGCCTTGCAACATTGTCTGCCATCCTTTATTTAGTCA